CTAGTGTTGCCATAACAAAATACTAAAGACTGGAAGGCTCAAATAACAGAAATGCATTTCCTCACAGTCCTGGAAGCTAGAAGTCTGAGATTAAGGTGCCAGTAGGGTTGATTTCTTCCTGAGTCTTTCCTTTTTTACTCAACACGTGGCCAACTTCTCCTTTTGTTCTTATATGGTTATACGTGTGTGTGGGAAGGGGGTGGTGGTTCTAATCTCCTTTTATTAAAAGTCACCAGTCATATTGGATTAGAGCCTATTCAATGACTTCATTTTATCTTAATCATCTGTATAAAGACTCCCATGTTCAAATACAGTTTGAGGAATTGGTACTGGGACTTCAACATATGAAATTTGTTGGTACATAACTCAGTTCACAACACTCATGTTTTCTCTATAGCATGTTTTCAACTCAGAATACCTTTTTTTTCCAGAAAATTTTGATAATTTGTAAAAATACCATTCCACAGTCACAGATACATCCTTAAAGTATGTCACTTCAGAATCCACAGCATGATTGTTCCATGTTAAAGTCCTGCTTCCAGGTCCTCTGATTTGATTAGAATGACTGGAAAGTCAAATAATTACTTTCTCATTTTTTCACATTAGAGACAGCCATGTGGCCTGGTTCTGGCCAGTGTCTGCAAGATGAAGCCTTCTATGGTGTTAGGGGTATGTATTTTGGATACATAGAAACAGTTAGAGCCTCCCCTACTCTTTTTCCCCTTCCACCTTCCCTCTCCCTGCATGATGTCTCAGCTGGGTTGCCATTTATCATCATGAGGAAAAGACCAAAAAAACTTCATAGATGCTAGCCCTCCACAAATGTTGATGGCATCCTACAATGCCTGAAACACCTCCAGTGGCCACCCACTTGGAATTAATCTCCATTTGTTCAAGCAAATGTAAATTTGGTTTACTTGTTACTTACAGTTGAGAGCATTTAAAACAGAAATAGAAAGCATATCAGCTGACAATTTTGAGTTTTCCACAAAAAAGAAACTCTGTGGCCATCAAACATCTTCCCAAATCAAAATTCAGTTATGAATTCACAAATCCACTTCCTGAGGTCAAAAGACGGCAAAGTAGAAAGAGCTGGCTGTTTTCACATAGATAAATCACCACAAGGGGATCTATGTAATGCCCATTCTTTATGGTTGAACGGCAGTATTTTTCTTTTACCCCAGGTATTAACTGTTTTATGTGCATTTAAAAAGGAGGAAAGCTACATTGCAAACAAGAATGAAAGGAGGGACTTTGTGATAGCCTTCACTTACATCTTCTTATAATCTGCTTCATATGGATGAAGCATAGAATGACAAAGAATGTGGAGGTCCAGCTGCTTTTTTCTTTTCATTTGACCCTCCCTGGGCAAAAAAAAAAAAAAAAACTAGTAAATATGATCCATACTTGGCAGTAATCCCATTCATTTCCTACAGAAACTCAGGAAGCTTGGGCTGCCTCTCTTCAGCTCATTATCAGAGCAATTAAAATCAGCTGTTGCAATGCTGCTTTTAGGTTTCAGATTCTGTAATTTGTGTAGCCCAAGGCATGATTCATTTTTATGAAGAGATTTTGGTTCCAGTCCTGCTGAGTTTTTAAAGAGTTTTAATTAAACACTCTTTGGGGAGTTTTTCCTTGATCTGCTGGATTCAAGATTCTTCAGTAAATAACCTCCTAGGATTATTTTGGGTGGGGATAATTTATCTTTAATTTTAATGCCCTAATTTAATTTTAATGCCCTATATTATACATATACTGAAACCCCAGGAGAGTAATCTCATTAAATAAATACAAAATTGCATATAGTATTGTAAAGGTAAAATTTCTAAGCTGATTCTAAGCTGCAAAAGTCTGAGTTAAAGTGTAAAAGACTGGGCATTGTAAGGTTTCTAAATTACAAGGCCTAGGCTAAAAAGTAAAGACTAGGTATTGTTACAATTCCTCTGCTACCCCCGGAAACTGTAACTCCTATAGCTGTGAGGACAATGCTGGAACTGCCCAGTAAGTATCTCCATTGATTCCCTGTTTGTTTAATAGCTAAGGGCTCCAAGTAGCTTGGCATGTAAGCATCTAGGCTCCAAAACCCATCAGTTTAAATGTGTACCCTGCTTAGGAGGGACCAATCACCCCTGCCCAGACTGTTCCCGC